GGTTGATCTGATTTGTTGCATAAGAGAAACACAATGTTAGTTTAAAACGCAACACAAAAACTCACATACCATCCGACAAATCTCATCGTTTAACGTTTAATGTTCAAGGAAGCAATAGATTACCATAACCCTCTTCCAACAAGAGAAACTCATGAGAAAGCGAGGGATAGCAATATACGTGATGAAATTCCATGCAACAATAATAGCTAATTTCCATCAGTGTATAAAAATTCTACAGAAATGAATAATGATGGTAGAGGGTGGCTTCTCAGATGTTTGGTGGGGTCTCACTTTGTCTGAAGATTATATTCCATTTCTTGTCTCTTGCGTTCGCATGTTGGTTTAAAGAGAGCCAAAAGATGGATAAAGAATATAGGAAAAGATGGGATAGTAATTTTCAACTCCCATCCCGGCCAACACAATGTTGGTTTTCTATTCTTGTGCATATGTTGACACTTCCCTCAACAACCTCCGGTCTACTTATCTTACATCTTAATTATACAAGGGAAGTTTTCCCAATATAGGGATAACAACAATGTGAAATTCAAGAGTAAGAGAACTATTTTTCTCAAATAAAAGTAAAATATGGTTATATATTTGTCATATTTTGATATTGTTATTCATTAATATGACATATTAATGTCATAATTAACGATATTCCCCTCTCATGACAATAATTATTCATATTTTGTATTTACAACATTTGTAATCCTATTTAGGGCGTTGTGTCTGTGTGTGTTGTATATACATACTAAAAAATTTGGGTTGACATATATTTATCATGGATTGACATGAATTTTTTACGCAGGTCAGTAACAAACAAGTTTTCACAAAACACACTTGGCGGGATCTTTGCAAGCATTTTGCAAGGATCCGTATCAAAGTTCTATGCCAAAATGTTACTACAACAAAGTATAATTTTTGTGGCATATGCAAAATGTTGAAATAAGTGTCAAAAATATTACAATATATCAAATATAGCATTTTTTTAATTGTAGCAATTTATCATTTTACTGTAGTATTTCTTGATACAATAAATATTATATTGTAACAATTTTCAATGTGCTACAAAATTGATGCTAGACATTTTTTGTAATGTGTGACAAATCCATGCTAATGTAATTGCTTTTGCAGTGTATATTTTGCACAGTAAACATCATATCAGACCTTTGAAAATTTCATTAGTCAGACTTCGGGTTTTACCAATAAATAAATTAATACTCCCCCGTCCCAAAATTAACTTCTCACTTTCCTTTTCGGGCAGTCCCGAAATTAACTTCACACTCCAAAACTTTCCTTATTTGGCAAATAATCTGTTGGTCTTATGGGAGATCAGCACCACCCTTTGATTCAGGGCTTAACCGCCCAACCTGTTGGCACCACGATGTGGTGCAGCCCCTCATGTCCATCCGCCGCTCAGTAGTGGGGCTCTGCACTGCCGTAGTGAACTGTGGGGGGTGCCCCACAGGAATCTACCTTGACTTGGGGACTACAGAGTAATGGGTTAAATAGAGGGTGTCCACTTCCTTATCACCAATTGGTTTTAAGAAAGATATGGCTGCTATTTAACCACAGAACTCTGGAGTTAAGCGAGCCCGGGGTAAGAAAGCCCAAGGATGGGTGACCCACTGGGAAGTTTGTCGACAGGGGTGAATCGATCCAACAAGTGGTATCAGAGCGAGGTCACAGGTGAATCTCTCGGCTGGTGCTGAGGGGGTGATTGTTGGTCTTATGGGAGATCAGCACCACCCTTTGATTCAGGGCTTAACCGCCCAACCTGTTGGCACCACGATGTGGTGCAGCCCCTCATGTCCATCCGCCGCTCAGTAGTGGGGCTCTGCACTGCCGTAGTGAACTGTGGGGGGTGCCCCACAGGAATCTACCTTGACTTGGGGACTACAGAGTAATGGGTTAAATAGAGGGTGTCCACTTCCTTATCACCAATTGGTTTTAAGAAAGATATGGCTGCTATTTAACCACAGAACTCTGGAGTTAAGCGAGCCCGGGGTAAGAAAGCCCAAGGATGGGTGACCCACTGGGAAGTTTGTCGACAGGGGTGAATCGATCCAACATAATCTACATCAAAAAAGTGCCCAACAGTGTCAAACAATGCCAAACAGTGTCAAACAGTTCCAAACAGTGTCAAACAGTGTTTAAACAGTGCAAAACAATGCACTCTACAGTAAAGTCAAATTTATTTTCTTAATCTGTATGAAGTCAAATTGTGAACTTAATTACGGGGCGGAGGTTGTAAGATATTTTCACTCATAAATGCAAGTATTGGTGATTATTTTCAACTCCTGGATCCGATGGCTAATTTCTGATTTAAATTTTGGTTGTTCATTGTTTATACAATTAAAACTTAAAGAAAAATAAATAATTAAACTAAATTTATACATGTGCGCTAATATGTTTTTCAATAATTAAACTCATTCACTCTCCTCTAGTGTGCGCATGTGTATGGATTAAGATTAATTCATCAATAAATGGAATTATTATATGTCAAATTGATTTTTTGAAGATTTAACGTTATAATTTATAGTTAGTATGTACAGTACTATTAAGAAAAAGTTGGATCATTTAGTTCATAATGTTAAAAAATAAAGTCCATCTAATTCGATTCCCGTCAAATAGACTAACATATTCCCGTCAAATATACTAACATATTCCATCTAAGGTTATGTTTGGCACACAAAAGCCTCTAGCTACTAGCTTTTCTATTCTTTAAAAAGATCTTAAAAGACTCTAGTTGTATGTTTGGCATGACATTTTTTAAGAGCTTTTCAAAAATTAAAAAATCTTTTTTGAGATGCTACCGGGTGTAGCGTTCTGAGAAAAACTCGTGACTTTTAGTATTAATTAGTCCTAACAGCTTGTATACCAAACTGAACTAAATCAAACAATCAGCTTTTTACCAAACAGCTATCACCTTTTCTTTTTAAGATCTTTTCAGTCATAGGCTAATAGTTATTAAAAAGCTCACAAAAGATCTTTTAGAAAAATTACTAAAATAAAATTTTATTTACAAAATTGTAATTAATGGTTACTATAGTATAAATGTCTAATATAATGGTTACTAATACGGTAACTACACATTAGAATCACATTTTTTGTAAAACACTTTTGAATATGTATATTTAAAAGCATTATTATTTAATTAATGACAAAGACAAATAATGGAATAATTCAAAAGAAACAAGAGCTATTGTCCTAAAAAGGAGTAAATCATTACTTAAATTCCTAAACACGAGTAGTTACATGTATCTTTATTCTTTAAATAGGACTTTTGTTTCATATTTACCCTTCCTAATATAAATAATTGCCCCCTAGTTCAATTATACAAGTCACTTCGTTGGTGGCGGGATCATTCTGGCGGCGGCACTCTATGGCGACATCCAAATTTCCAGCGACGGTGGCCAGATTTGTAGCGGAGGCGCCTTGATCTGCATCATCGGGGCTAGATTTGCAGTAACCAGATCTGGCCGGATCTGCGTCAGAGACAATGGCTAGACGTGCAGCAGCGCCGACATTCTGACATTCTGTTAGTGACAGTAGTTGTGACCAAGTGTCGTGGGTACTACTAATTAAGTACTAACTACATATAAAAACTCATATTTAGGGAATTTTGAAACATCACTCCTATTTTGGAAATTAAGGATTTATTAACTCTTATTTAAGAAATAATACCAAGAAACAAACGCACAAAGGTTGTTCACCTGATATTAACCCTTGATAGATAACCAAGTCTAAATAGTCTTTAGTCCTTATAAATATGGTACATTTTATTTTATATACTTGCAAAATTACTTTTTTATTTTTCTTCTCTAAAATTTATGTCGATTTCGTTTTTAGTTTATCACCTATAATAACATCCCCCATTTGACAACAAATCCATGTTGACTAATCAATTTCCTTTAACTCTTTGTCGTGTTAATAAAAAAATATTTAATTTTATTTTTAGAAGATTTTGGATACATAATTTTATACTACTTTCATCCCAATTTGATGATCATGTTTCTTATTCACTTGATCTACAGAATTCATTCTTTTTTTTTTTGAAACACAACATAATTCATTCTTAATCACTATATGTATCAAATTTCATTTTACTTTTTGAGACTTCATAAGATAATTTGAGTGTGGATGAGAATATATTTGCTTTATCATCACTCAAACCTTGTAAATTAATCCACATTCAGACCATCACATTGCGGCAAAGGTCTTACTACTTTAACTCTCAAATTAGCTTTAAAAAAATTATAAAAGGATAAATTTAGAAAGCATTAGTAATATTAAGGTTGGCAGTGGGGCGGGCTGGGACGGGAGCTCACTCCCCATCCCCGCTCCCTCTCATAAAAAATCACCCCACCTCCGTCTCATCTCCTACCCCGACCCGCTAGACTTACGTGTACCCAACAAAGGAACATTCACGAAAACAAAATTAAATAATTAGATAGAGTAAATAAATTTGACACTCACTTGACATATAGTTACCTGCAAACAAAACAAAATTTGCTTCAAACGCTCTTTATAGTGTAAATTGTACTAGTATAAATGTATAATGTTGCAGCACTAGCACATATATAAACAAAATTAATTAATACTGCGTAATTTACATGTCTTCAAAAATTCAATAGATTTAGCACATATATAAACAAAATTAATTAATAATTTACATGTCTTCAAAACTTCAATAGATTTAGCACATATATAAACAAAATTAATTAATAATTTACATGTCTTCAAAACTTCAAAAATTCAATAGATTTAGTCATTATGAACAAAATCAGAAAGAAGATAACAGTCTTGATGATTCTTCAATAAGAGTTCAAAAACTAGACAATTATTTTCATCATCATCATCATCATCATCATCATCATCAGGATTACTATTTGGATTATTATAATTTTTATGAGGTGCCAAACATAGCCTAGCTATTAATTAGATTATACGGAGTATGAACACATCTATTTTTTTTAACCTTGAGGACGTTTTTGGTAGTTATCATTCTCCCAAAATTATATACTGCATTTTAAATAATACGCAGTACAAAATTAGCCATTCAAATAAATTATTCCGTATTAAAATGATGCATCCAATCCAACATAAAAACCTGGACCACACCCGACCAGAGAGAGATCATTACAGCATTCTTTTTCATGTCTTCAAACGTGACACGAGTCCAACACAACAAATATAAAAAACTTCACTTCCCCTGTTTCTGCAAATATTGGCTTCCAATCCCCCCATGTTCAGATTGCAAATGGCTACTTCCAAATGGCTACTTCTATGAAGAAATATGATATTATTGTTAAAATTTCTAAAATATAACTGCAAAACTGGGAAATCCTGCAGAGCTGTGTGCAATGTGATCAGGGAAACATGAATATACCAGCTCAATATCAATATCAAAACTATTGGAATATAACTTCAGCGCTTTTACACCAAGAGGTTTTTTGGTTCGGAATATTGAAGGGAATGATTAATTTTTTATTTTTTCAAATTTCTTAGTCTTAAGATTAATTAAAAAAGTCATATATTACTCAAAATAGTGCAGCATTTCTCTCAAGTTTATCATATATATGATATATCACATCTCTTTGGCCGAAATTCCAAACTAAAAAAGGGGCAAGTGCTCACCTCAATATTAATGCTCTTATTATTTCTTTCCATATGCCATAAGCCTTTGACGGGATAACTTCATTTCTGCTTGACGAAGCTTTCTCCTTTTCTTCCTGGATAAATTACCACTTGTATCATCACCTCCATTTTCGATGGAATTTACCACCTTAGACGTTTCTGTCTCACTTGGCCTCTTTTTCTTCTTCTCAAACTTTTCGAAGTTCAATTTCTGGACACCCTCGAGCAATAACTCTCTAAATTTCTGCTTCTGCTGGTATCTCTTAGTCCGTGGGACCTTCCACTCTTTTTCTCTATATGGAGCCAATGTTTTCAGAGGCACATATTGATTCAATTCCTTGTCATCGAACATTATAATCTCCTCCGTTTTCAAACCATACCTTTTAGGGTTAACGGGTTTGTACTTGAACCTCGTCTTTAAGTCACCTATTACATCCTCATAGTCTAACTTGTAATATTCATCCATTAATTGGTCCTTAGCAGCCTGCATTGCAGCATTTTTATGGATTGGCCCCACATCTTCATCTTCATCATCATCATCGTAGGCCTCACCCCTTTTCAAGTTTCTTTCCCAACCGGTTGGAAGCCCAAGTAACTCGTCCTCCTTGTCAAAGTCCGGTTTTTCAAGATCTTCATCACCATCGCTCGCAAAACTGGGGTTGGTATCATCTTCATTATAATAATCATCTCCAAATGTTTTGTTCATCTTGCTATCATACTCCTCTGGGTTGAATTCAGCTTCGAGATCATCCTCGTCTATCAAACAATCCACATTATCTCTGATTCCAGCAATCTCTTTAATCTTTTGAAGTTTCTCGTTCATCTCTTTCTTCTTCAAATTCTTCAACCGCTTCAACTCCTCTTTCCTCTCCTCCGCTTCCCTAGCCATCCTCTCTTCCTTTCTCTCCCTCTGCAATTTTCTTGCATTTGGTTTTTTCCTTACCGAACCGTCCACTTTCCTTGAGTACCCCAAAACCCTATCACCAGCATTCTCTTCAAACCTAAAATTAAATTCCCTCTCATAATCCTCCTGCTTCTCAATTGCTTCCTCATCCTCTGAGAGTATCGACTCTTCCTCATCATCCACCTTCCTGACTTTATTATTGTCATCATCCAACCACATTTTATTCCGGAAAAAATCTTTCAAAAACCGGTCGTTCTCATCTAACTTGTTATCCTCCCCGAAATACTCTTCTAACTTCTTGGAAAACTCTCCATCATCACCATCCTCATCATCATCACCTCCCGTATTCCCACTCCCCTTAACCTTTAAAAAGTCATCCCCGTCCTCAGCTTCCATGTCCATCTTCTCCACTGCATCCAAGAACTCCTTCCTGAGCTCCTCTTGCTCTTCTGAGTATGTCTTTTGCTTCTTCTCATCCTTTCCTTCATCCTCATCATCAAATTCTGGTCCCTCCTCCATCAAATGCCTTGATATTACATCTTTCAAATACAATGGCTTTTTCTTTTCATTGGCTTTCTTTTCGTTATCAGACTCAGAATCAGGGTCCGACTCATCAGATTCAGACTCAAATAGTTTCGCATCTTTGTTTTGCAACATGGGATCTTTCTTCCTGATCTTGAGCAGAGCATCGAAAAACTCAGTATCCTTCTTATTAATTGACTTTCCAAAACCTTCACTGTCATCTTCATCAGGCTCCTCATCTTCATCAACTAGACCTTTCTTCTTCAGCTCTTCAAATCTGTGAAGGTCTTCTCTCTTCTTGTTGTGCTCGAACCGGCGAGCAAACTCCTCATTGATCTTGATTTTGTTCAACTCTACTTCATCATAATCATCATCGTTTTCAAATAACTTCATACCTAATTTCATATAACATAAAGACCAAATAAATTATAAATTTTAGGAATAAATATATGAAAGCACATCAATTCTTCCTTGAACCAAGCCGTTAAACTACTAACTTAACTGTACTTCATAATCATTATCAAATATAAATCATGTAATGAAATTTCAGAACACATCATTTGCTTTACAAATTTTAGCACCAAAATTAGAAAAAGAATAACAATGATAAACATAGACAATGTAGAGTTCAGGAGGCCCAGGACAGAAGGAGGTCTTGCCTTGAGGGTCTGGAAACTTTTTTCCCTAAGTGTCTTTCAAAAAATTAAGGATTGACTTTATGTTTTAGTCTATTTATTTTAATAAAATGTATTGCTGAAAGTGGGAGTTATGCAGAGTAAAGCAAAAAGAACTAACAATAACAAAAAAAAACTTTTGCCTAAACAATAAAAAACATGACAAAATAGAATACTTCTTAAAGTTATAGATAATATCTAACAACTAAGCAAAAACACTAAATGTAGTCCTTCCATCTCTAAAATGGGTCCTATTCTTGATTAAATTTCTCAAAAAAATGGACAGAAAAAGTTATACCCAATAATTCTATCTATTACTCCGTATTACATAAAAGAAAAAGAAATATCCTACACTGTTCTCGGCCTCCCGCCTAAAGAGCTCTATTGGAACAAATAAACCTTATCAGAAATTATTGTTTGGGGCTTAACTTTGAAGTGTTGAATCTGAATTGATAGGTGAATGGAATAGATATGTTTGGCAAAAAGAAATAAAAAATGCTTTGATAATGTTTACTTACATTAAAGGGGATATAATTAATTATTACAACAAAACAAGAATGGTCAAACAACACGCTATCATAAAAAACATAGATTGACAACATCTACCAACACTGCCTCTGACCCACCTTGATTTGCATGTACTCCATGGGAGAGTAATTTCAATGCAGAGAACATTTACAAAGAGCAGAGCTCTCTTCCTTAGTCTGATAGTAATACCACTATTTCTTGGATGAAACCTCGGCATGAAAACTACTATAACCATACTCCACGAAAAAACATACTACGTTACTTATTGACAAACTAGCTTTCTGGTTAGGCTTACCTAAATTGAAAATTTTACAACCCGCACAAGCTTTCATGTACGTAGTATTACTGATAAATAATGAAAACTAATTCTACAAACCCACTAAAAGTCTCTCCACACAAAAAAAAATGAGTGGTTATAGGATTATGTTTAAAACCTGCAGTTCAAATATGCTTCGACTCAAACATGTTTCTTAAGAAGGCCACACAAAAACATTACGATAGTATATCGATTCTAAATTACTAGGTACAGATAAATTCATTGAGTTCAATACAACAACCATCTTTTGAAGATATTGAAAGTGCTAAAGAGTAGAGACCATTTAAAAACTTTCATAGCCGCCCATCTAATAAAAACTTTTATTTTCCTTACAACAGCAGCAATGTAACAGAGAAAGCAAAAAAGTTCTAGAGTTCTACCATGGCGGACGATTGGAGAAAAATAACAGAGGTTTTGCATAATATACGTGAGGGTTGCGATGGAATCCAAAGTCTGGAAATAGGAGGCTGAATATAAACGTTACTAACCTTAACGTTTGAGTTCAGCCCAATTTTTTCAATTCAAGCCTACTTCAGCCTTTCAAACAACCAAGGCTACTTTAATTAAAATTGACTAAATTTAAAAAAAAAAAATCAGCCCTTTTTAGCTGAAATGGTGTGCCGAACAAGCCTAAGCCTAAGTATGGTGACTCTGGTCTACGGCTGAAACCTATCCAATTAAAACATCTACAAGAATTTACTTAAAATGTGTCTTATTCCCTGAGATCATTTTTTGTTTAATCTCCCAGCTCAATTTTAATACTCCGGAGGTTTTAATTCTCGTTTCCAATATGCTTAGGCTTCACAATTTTGTCGTTTCTCCATTTCAAATATCATCACCGAGACGCCAACAGCACCAAAGCCTGTGAACTTCGCTTGCTGGAGCTACTTACGACTTATCGTGAAAGCAAATAAGCAAGCTTTTAACCCCTACCTTACTCATCTCGGTATTTCATGAGATTCTATATACATTTTAGGGTTTTGGTTGCTTTTAAGATTGCATATTTTCTCTTTATTTTTGATCTAATTGTTTACTTTATGTGCAATCTCAGTTTTGATTGCTAGTGAAATGACTATATTAATATATTTTGGTATTGGCATGTTATACATAGTACTTCCTCCGTCCCAAAAAAATTGCCAAAATGACTTTTCTTGGTCAATGGCAATCAAATTTGACAAATAATATTTTTTAATACAATTTTTTTTAATATGAAGGTTATATCAAAATGATCATTATTCAAAATAATTTCATAAAAGTATTAAATTTATAAATTATATACAAAAATAATAATTAAAATCATTGTCTAAAGTTTGTCATCATTGACCAATAAAAGTCAATATGACAAACCTTTTTGGGGCGGAGGTAGTATATAATTAGAGTCTTACATATGACTTCATGATTTCGGAAAAATTCCATTTCGAAGTTTGTGATTGAAGTCTTATACGGAGTATATGAATTTTTTATATGTTTTTGGGATGTTCTTACTATTTATTGTTACACAAATAGTTTCTGATTCTTTTTTTATGTATGCAATCAGTCATTTTAACTTTTTTTCTGAAGATTTCAAAAACAGAAACAATTATCCTGTTTATTGTTTTCTAAAGATTTCAAGATTTAATCATCTCATACTATTTTGTATCTTCAATATTTACATATGCTCTTGCCTGCAGTAGATTGTAGTAAAGAATGAGGCAGTTTGTTCTTTCTGCAGGCTTCTATGGCCATACAATGTTGTTATCTTATAAAGTTATAGATTGTAATAAAACGTATAGGTGCAAAAGTACTTATATTTGGTAACTTCTTTTAGCTTATCAATATCTTTGCTATGGGAATCATTAATCCAGAGGCTCTTATGAGCATTATTTCGAGAAGCGCCCTAAACTACTAAACTATCATCATTATGAGCATTATGTTGAGATCACATCCAATTTAAACAGAACCCAATCTTTTTGACAAGCTGGTTTTTTTGCGCTACAAATATGAGTTCTCAATCATATTTGTGGTGAATTTTTTCTTCTTATAAATTAATGTGCGACTTTGTATTTCTAAAATGCGTGACTTTGCATTTAATTGTTGATTCCCCCCCACAACAGATTTCCTAATTTCTCACCCATTTAATTGTTTAAATGTGTGACTTTTGTTTGTTTGTCCAGACTACTTGAGTTCTTAGACAGATAGGAAGTTAGTAGTCTCAAGCCACTTTCTTGGAAGAAAGTGGTCACATTTTGAGAAGTACTCGTCATTTTCTGTTGACAAGAAGAAAATGAAAAATCTTAGCAGGGCCGGTTCCGAGAAAATGGGGACTAACAAAAAACTATGAGCCTTCCTTTTTAACATAGAACATTAATAAAGAAAAGAATAGTAATAAATTACTGGTATTTAGTGTTTAAATACAAATTGCTAATGAACATAATAGTAAAAATAAAAGTATTCATTAACAAAAATGCATTTCACCTAAAAAGAGACATTTTTCGAGTGTGTTAAATATAATTAGTTGAATTGCCTAATTACTTCATTAAATAAATAACAATCAAATTAGTTAAATTCGATTATAAATTACTAAAATAAGCAACCCAATCACGTAATAATAATGAAGATTAACATTACATAAGAAATAACAAGATTGATATTTTATTAATCTATAATCTATAATTAATTAAAAAGATAAAACGAAAAGTCAAAAACCTTACCTGGTTAACTGATTCAGCCCTTGAGTAGACAGTAGTAACTAGTAAGCACTAAGCACAGTCAACAGTGAGCGACTAAGCCAGCCTTGCGAGGCTGCGAGCGGAGGCCTGGAGGATTGGAAGGCGGTTAAAGGCGTGGCGGCGTCCCTCCCTCTGTCGATTGGAAGGCGGTTAAAGGTTTGGGTATCGGGATTGCCGTCTTGAAGAGCAGGAGTTCAGGGATCTGGAGTCGGGCTTCTGTTCTAGTCTTCCGCCTCTTCTATAATTTATTGGACATGGGCTACTTGGCTTTTGGACTACTACTACTTGTTTTGGGCCTTAAAATGGATAATTCTAAAATATAGTCCCTCAATTACTATTTATAGCCCATAATTAAAATCAATTAATCAACTACAGTCGTACGACATATGGCGGTCATACGGTTCAGCTAGGGTTTGAGATCCGATGTGGGTGGCTACAACTTCCTCTGTGATAGGTAGCGGTGGTGTGGTGGTGGGGCGGCCGTCACAAGGCTAGGGACGGGTGTGGTGTTTGACAACGACTGTGGAGGGGTTAAGGGCTGGGGAGGGGGCTGATGGGCTAGGGAGGGGCTGATTAGGTCACTGTTTGGGCCGGTGGTTGCCGGGTGTGCTGGGCTGAGTGCAGGTGTGGGGGTTGGGAAGGCGACAGTCACTGGCCGGTGGGGCGGCGACTGTCACTAGCCGGGGGCGACGGCAGTCACTGGTCGGGGAGGCGCCAGTCACTGACGAGAGCAGTGGCAGTCATTGATCGGGGCGGCGGCAAAAGTCCTAATCGGGGCAGTGGCAACATTCACTATTAAGGCGGCGGCAGAAGTCCTAACTAAGGCAGGAGTAGAAGTCATTGCACCAGGTAGTCACTATATGTTGGACTAATTCTGATCACTAAAATTGAAGTCACTACCAATAGAAAATACATTAGTCACTGCATATTAGTCATATTTTTTAAAATATTGAAAAGAGATCACCTTTTTAATTTTATCTTTTATCTGTTGTCAAAAAAAATGTCTTTTATCCTCATTTTTTTAATATCAGTACAAAAGTCCTAAAGCAAACCCTTGAAGAATTCTTTGAAGGAGTTATTGACATGTAGCAACATTATTGGCATGAAAAAATGACATGTAGCAACACAATAAATTAAAGAAAAGCTATTCAACTTCCAAGACTTCACTCTTATGTATTCCAATTTTTTTTGCAAAAGGTAAATTTTATTAATAAAAGTAAAATAGTATAATGCGAGAAAGGGAGAAAAAAGGGGAAAAGCAATACAAAAAGAGAAAAGGTGTGAAAACTAAAAACAGAGCTAGAATTTTATTAAAATGAAATGAAAGAAGTTACAAGGAAACAAAGAAAAAAAACTAAAAACAGAGCTAGTCTCATGGAAGTCTCTGGATTGAGATCTTGTTCTCATGTTATACCGCCGGTTGTTCTTCTGGTTTTTTATGTACATTTTGAGCTGCGTGTTCAGATAATCAGTTGGCGAGTAGTTATCCGAGTTTACGAAATTGGCTTTGCGGCAAATTTCCCAATTGAATTCGGACTTCCTAATTTCTTCTGAGTAAGATATAGGAGGCAGACGATCACTTTTGGTTGCATGCCCCAAGAAGTCATCTGCGAAGATGGAGTCATCTGAATGATCAAAGTCGTCAGAGGCGTTTGAGTACACTTGGATCGGTGGCAACTGGGGCTGTTTCCCATAAGAGAAAACATGTTGAGTAACAATAGCTACTTTCTGAATTTGGGAATGTAATATCAGTTTTGAGATGGATGTGGTGTCCTCGGGTTCTAATTTCGTCCCTTGTTGAAGGGAGATTGAGTCATCCTGCACTAACTTTGAGAGTCCTGCAAAATTAGAAAAAATATTAACGAATTTAAATAGGCTCCAAAAATTTATATGTACTTATATATATTAATATATGTGTATATATTTGTTATAATGTTCTATATAAAATTAGGTAAAATTTTGTATTCGCCGGTATTATAAAATCCAAATACTCAAAAATAAAAAATAATTAACAATTTTTAGCCACTCTTAAAATAAAAATACTATAATATGATAATTATTACATCATTTGTCTCATTGATTTTCTTTGACATTTCCTTTTTCCTTTCTTTCACTAAGTTTGTGTAACTCCAAATACTATAATAGTATAATAAATGTGTAGTCCTAAATCAATTGTCCCTACATTATTGTCTCTACTTTTTCATTTCAACATTAGCTAGATAAAGTCTTTTTTAATAGTTGCATATGTCTCGATCTTAGTGAGACAAATGTGATATTATTTATCTAATTATTACTGATCTATTTATTAATTCACAAGCTCTACCAAATCAACGTCTAAAGGTAGATTCACTTTTTGTCTCTTATTTATTTATTTATTTGTTTGTTTGTTTATTTATTTATTTGTTTATTTATTTATTTATTTATTTATTTATTTATTTCTTCTGCTTTCACAATTTATGTTTCACGTGGTAATATATAGACAGCAAAATATATTTGGAATAAATATTACACAAACATGCTCTAGTAATTTTTTAGGAAATGCCTCCTAAAATATTACTAATAAAAAATATAGAGAAAAATGTGACTATAAGTTACTATGAGTAAGTTACTTGAGTCACATTTGTATCCACAACTTTTATTTTGGTTATATATTTGGAATTATTTCTAGAAATAATAGTTCAACAAGGGTTGTAAAATAATAAGTATATTTGAAAATTATTTTGATAGTAAACCATCAATATTGAAGACAATGAAAGTAAAAAATAGATTTTTATATTTTAGTTTTTTCGCAACTTGCATGGGTCAAGCCACTTAACCTGCAACCCGTGCAAGATGACCCACGAAACCTTTATTGGATTCATCGAGTTAAAGAAAGACAACTTTAACCAACCGTGAAATGGGATGGATGAGCTAGCCCGATGGACTGCGACTCATTTTGACAGCTCTATCCATAGTCGACTGCATTTTCTTTTAAATTGTGATTGACGAATTCACATACAATTCATTTCTCCTACAATTTTAATAAAAAATTTAAACACGTATTTTGTTGTGCAGTGCACGGGTACACATACTAGTTAAATATAAATAAAATGTCTATTATATCCTTATACGATGCCCACGGTCCACTTAACTCTAACCTTCATTCCAGGATTGCCTTTTTGATGTCTTTCATGAATGTTAGAGTTAAGCTCTAGGCTGGATCATCAATTGCCGTTTAACATGCTATATATATACGATACATTTCAGGATACATAGCCAATTTCATAATGAAGAGCTGCCCTTTCAAAAGATCTTTCACTATAACAAAGGAAACTCAATGTTGGCTCACACCAGCCTTCTGTATACTATTGGGATCGATAAGTATTGTGTTCTTGGACTCGGATTCCAGATCACTCTATTTCTAGGCCCTTGTAACCATATTATGGTTGTTTCTTTAGTTGTAATATATTTTTATACAAGGTTTTCGGTATTGCATAGAATGTCATAATTCATCTTGCACACTTGTGGTAAATCTCCTCTAGCTTGGCTCAAGGTCTTTACACGAGGAGGGAAAGCGAGTATATCCAAGTTTGCAAAATAGGGTATAACACCTTCCCAGATCAGTGTTTTTGCGAGAGATTCACATGAAATTGCTCAAGTGAAGAGTGTCACATGAAGCGATTAAATTTCATAACGTCTGTCCACAGGGTTCACAATCCACTGACTCCACACCCTCAGACTTTGTCTCCTCTGTGAAAGAGTCTTGTTCAAGTGTTGTTTTCCAATCATGGAGATACATATACCGATAGTATGTATGTATACGTGTTGAATGTATTGTTTTGTTGATGACTAACCATACAGGTGGGACGATGGGCAGAACTGCCTACAAGTATTATTGGTCTAATGATAAATAACTCTGCAGGGTGGACCAAAGGACAAAACTATTCTTGGTTCCGTGGTTGATTTGAATTAATACGTATGCACCTACTTGATTATAAATTAATAATCTTTCCTTGAACGAGTGCATATACTTGGTTAAAAATATTATTGGCAAGGATATTTTTTGTGCATGACTATTTTAGAAGTACGGAGCATGATTCATTTAAAGCTTTTTCCATGCATGATTAGACACTCACTTTAGTGACTTGGCCTATATAGCTTAATACTTTATGGAAAAGATCTTTGCTTGCTAAAGTATGATTGTGTGACTTGATATGTGGTGATTTAAGAATAGACCATAACATATGTATATTTGTTAAGTGAGTAATTTACTCTCATACTATATATGTTGGTATATATTTTTGATATAATCATCTTTGTTTGAAATATGATCCACATATGTATGATTGAGTCTGTTGCACTTAAAAGAAAGAATCTCCAAAAGGAAGGACGTTCAAATTATAACAAGGCAATTACCACTTTTGGTAACTCGATCATCCAAGGAAAGAAAAGGCTTAACATATCTACTCCAAGCAGCATATATATGTCGTGATCAAGAAGAAGAATGTGTGCTTGATAGAGACAGAATTAGAGAGACACATTCACTGATGAAATACTAAGGATGTTTTCTTTTGGACTGAAATTTGCTGGTCTGGTCTGGTCTGGTCCGATCTGGTCTGGTGTGGTCTGGTTTGATCTGGTCTAGTCTGGTTTGGCAAATGTCTGGTCTTTGTGTATTTTATAACTACGGAAGTCAGGTCTGATCTGCTCTGGTATGGTCTAGTCTGGTCTGGGACTGAAAACAGTCCAAAAGAAAACATCCTAAAGCTCAAGGCACCTGAAACTGCTCACAAAGAGTTCCAGATATAGTTCCCACTTTTCTTTCTTCTCTTTGTAATGGGGTTTTGAGGATTGGCTAACTATAGCATCCTAAGGTTGGTAAGTGTGTGGTGAGAGCTTTGTTGTAAAGCTAAGAGGCTTTCTACTCGCAAGGTAGAGAAACGTAACTCTTCTTAGAGATGATAGAGTTGGGGTGGCTCAAGGGTAGACTACGAGAGTTTCTTTTTTTAGTGAAGTTGTTAAAATTCTTTCAAGGGAGGTCGATGTTTTTTAATCCCTTTTGTGCCAAGGGATTTTTCCTCGTTGAATGCTTGTGCACTTATTTACTCTGCTTCACCCTATACCCCACTACCCCACACTAGAACTTGGCAAAAAACTGTCACCGTTGCACACACACACTTAACCCCCCCCCCCCCCCCCTCTTGTGTTACTAACCGTGTCATCAATAAGAAAATGAATTTACTTAGGGTAAGTTT